TGTGTGTGTGTGTGTGTGTGTGTGTGTGTGTAAATATATAAAATATATATATATATATTTACACACACACACACACACACACACACACACACATATATATATATATGGCTCTCACTGAAATACATTTCCAAATATTTTGTTTTTATGGCTCTCTTAGTCAAAAAGGTTCCCGACACCTGACTTAGACAAGCAAAATTGGTCCGAGTTCTACTCAAACGAAGATCCAAATACTGCGTTTGACGCATTTCAGCCAACCATAACCTCCTTATATGATAAACATTTCCCAGTAATTAAGGTCTTGTTGGGGGAAGAGCGGCCTCCTCTCCCCCGCGTGTTCGTTGAATTTCGGATGAGGAGAATGTTGGTCATCCAAATAAAGGCTGGAGTTGATGAACAGTTCCTTCGAAGCTTTTAATAACAGAATATTCCGGGCACCCACGAATTACAGACAATGGCTGCGCGTCACGAGTGCGAAGCAGGAAGAGCTTCACATCATTTTTATACCATCAGAAGGGCGGTACCGAGACACAAAGTGTGATATCATAACTTTCGTTTCTCCTAAACCAATTCTCAGCTTGGCGCATTCCAAAGTTTGTGCGTCTTCAGTAGGGAGTATTCCAATTCTAGGTGATGATTGTTACAAGGACGCCAAGCTACACTGCGGGCATGGGAAAGTTATACAGCATGATGAAATATGAGCAGAATACAGACTTCAGTCTCCAGAAAGTACAAGACCAAAGTAAGCCATGGATAACAAAAGGCATAGAAAACGCATGTAAAAAAGAAAAACAATTTATACAAATCGTTTCTAAAATTCAGAACCAAAGATGCTGAAATAAAATATAAGACCTATAAAAACAAATAAGTAAAAATTATAAGAATTAGTAAGATCATTTTCATGCATTATTAGAGCAGAATAAAAGCAACACTCAAGAAATATGGAAAATATTAAATCATGTAATTAGAAATAGCTCTAAAAAAGCAGATTATCCAGAGTACTTTATGAAAGACGAAAATACCATTATTGAGAAAACTGCAGAAATAGCTAATGAATTTAATCAGTATTTTGTTAATATCGGCAGTAACCTCGCAAAACAAATTCCTAGTACAATAAATTCTTTTGAACTATATAAATACATGGAAAAAAAAACTCTTCCACGATGTTTCTTACTGCTGTGGATCATAATGAAATATTAAATATTGTAAAAACATTAAAAAATAAAAAAAGTCAACTGATTGCTATCTGTATGACAATAGCAAAACAGATTATAGAACTTGTAGTGCGACCTTTCACATATATATGCAACCTGTTATTCAAAGCTGGTATCTTGCCATCAAAAATGAAAACTGCTAAAGTCCTTCCAATTTATAAATATCACTGTTACCACAATTCTCAAAAATATTAGAAAAACTATTTCCATACAGACTTGATAACGTCTTTCATACAGACTTGATAACGTCATACATAAACATGTGCTTTTAAGTGAAAATCCATATGGCTTCAGAGAAAATCGGACCACCTCAATGGCAGTAATGGAGTTTGTGGAAGCAATAGCCACTAATATAGATAACAAAGAATTTACTATTGGGATTTTTCCAGATCTAAAAAAAGCTTTTGACACGATAGATCATAGTATATTATAGAATAAATTACAGACATATGGCATTAGAGGCGTAGCATATAAATGGATTGAAAGTTATTTAGAAAACAGATCTCAGTATGTGCAGTTCAACAATAAAAAAATCGAATCAACTGAAGATCACTCTTGGAGTTACTCAGGGGTCTGTGCTTGGTCCAAAACTATTCATCTTATATATATATATATGTTATGATATCTGCAGTGTCTCAAAACAATTCAAATGTGTCCTATTTGCTGATGAAACAACTTTCTACTGCTCTGGAGAAAATCTGAAACAGCTGCTGAAAACTGTGGAAAATGAATGAAACAAATTTAAAAAATTGGTTCGACAGGAATAAATTATCACTTGAAAAAAATCAAAGTTAATAGTTTTTGGCACGAGCCCAATCAAACACCAAGTTAAAATTAAGGTAAACTCAATTGAAACAGAACGAGCTTATGAAAATAAGTTTCTTGGATTAGTAACAGATGCAAAACTGTGCTGGAAGCTACATATACATAACGTTAAAAGAAAAATATCCCAAACCATCGGGATCCTCCACAAAACTGAGGATGTGCTGAAAAAGAGATCTTTGTACACATTATACTCTTCATTATTACTTCCATATATAACCTACTGTGTGGAAATATGGGGAAACGCCTGTAAAACAAACAACTACAAAGAAAAAAAAAATTAAAATCAGAATAATCAATAGATCTAAATATCCGGAACGCTTGAACAACAAGAGTCAGTGATCCTTACGGATGGTCAGGGTAACGACATCATGGACACCGAGGGAACCAGAGGTAAATTGTTAAATAAAAACAAGTACTGTATTTTCTGAAGTTCATATACGTCATGTACTACTTAATACACTATTTTCTTTTCAGGTTCATCCTTTGGAAAGCAAAATGCAAGAAAAATAGTTGCTGTGAAAGAAGGAGATTTCCAGGAGTTAATTTTATCATACAACTCATTCCTATGAAGAAACATTCAAATTCAGAAAACATGCTCAGCTCGGCCTGAAAATGCATTTAAAGCAATAAAAACTGAAATTGAGTGTCACACCTAAACAAAAGGACTTATGCACACATTTGAACATGCATTTAGTTCAGGTTGACATCCTGAAACCTAAATGAACATTAATTTGATCATACAACTCATTCCTGTGAAGAAACATTCAAATTCAGAAAACATGCTCAGTTCGGCCTGAAAATGCATTTGAAGAGCAAAAAAGAGGAGACTGAGGTGAAATATGACAGGCACCAGGAATTACCAAGTAGTTATGATTGTATTTTTACTGATTAGGATTCCGTTGAGAATGAATAGGTTATAACATAAATTTTGCATGCTTTTCAGCCGGCGAGATGATCACAGCCTTGATTCAGTGTTTGATTCAATTGAAGAGGTGGTCCTGTGAGCACAGGGGCTCAAGGAGGATCAACTCAAATAAAGGAGCTGACAAACCTGTCCAACCGAAGAACAACACTGTCCTTGACAGAGGTGGAAGCAGCTGCTGTAAGAGATGCCTTTGCCTGCATCATCTGCAAGGGTAAATGAACGTTTTGTCTTTTATAGACAGATGTCTGTGCAGCTCAACTACCCATGTCCAAAACGAAAAAAGATAATTTTGCACTTTCTGTATTTAAAAAAATGTTTTCTGAATCACATTTGCAGGTCTAGTGGTTGAGCCCATGGTGACATTGTGTTGCCACAGCATTGTTGGCTGCAGGATCTGCATTGAACAATGGCAGAAAAATTCTACAACTTGCCCAAAATGTCGAGGGGATGAGTTTGACCTCAGTATGCAAAAACCCTCCGGACTGTCTGATGCATTCGCTGTGCTGGAAAACACACTGTACTAGTTAAACTATACAGTATACGGTATAGTCATGCTGTGAATTGTTCAGATTCTTTCCACTTGACTGTTTTTTGCATTCAAAGCACTTTTGACTTGAAATGTCTGTGCATCTAATTACTTTACCTCTAATTATTTTATCTATTCCCAGTGTCTCTTGACAGTTGTGCTCAGGTATCTCATATTTGCACTGTTTTATGTTTTATTTGTTAATGTTTTCCAGAAGTATTGAGAATTTTATAGACTGAGGACTTGGTTGTGTTGCTACACTTTTTATATTACAGCTGAGTCTCAACACACAAATGTAATATTTTTCTATAGCTGTGTAAGACTTGAAATGTTAAATAAAACTATTCAAAGAAATACATTTTTATTAAGAAAACAATGTTGATCTTGAATTTCTGTATGGCAACATTGCCATTGCTCAAAGAATACGTATGTCTGTTCGAGATGAAGGCGCCACTCATCCACAAGCTACATGAGAAGCAGTTCACCTTGTATAAGGGATTCCTAGCATGTTTTTTGAGGGCAAAAGCTGTGCAAGGTCTCAAGCCTAAGCATGATACAGCCATCATAGACGATCCCAGCTGTTGTGTGCCAAAGCGAGAAATGTTTGTGGGGACCACTGTGAAAGGATTGATATCATCATCACACAGGTCTGACTCCACAATCAGCTCATTCCTTGAGCAGGTGGAAACTGCATATGTCAAGTGTACTGAGTACCTTAGTACAAAGTTGCCCCTGGACAAAAAGGTTCTGCAGTGTATGGCAGCGATAGAACCCACAGCACATGGACACTCACTTACAACAAAACATCTTCTGCGACTCCCAGCACGGGTGACAAATGTGCTGAACACTGAAGAAAAAGATGAGTTTGAGCTGCAGGTGCGGAGATTTCAGGTTGATTCCTTTGTACCACCGTATGATACAGACATAAGGATCGACCACTGGTGGTCAGATCAGCGTCTCCTGGCTCTGTACCCAGCTTTGACGATGGTCCATGCTTTACTTTCATGTTTTCACAGTCCACAGGTTGAAGGCTCTTTCAACATTATGGGTGATGTCCTAGACCACAGGTGTCAAAGTCCGGTCCTCGAGGGCCGGTGTCCTGCATGTTTTCCATCCCTCCCTGTTGCAGCACACCTGATCCAAATGACCAGTTCATCAGCAAGCTCTATCGGAGCCTGATAGTGATCCTGATCATTTGAATCAGGTGTGTTGCAGCAGGGAGGGATGGAAAAAAAGCAGGACACCGGCCCTCGAGGACCAGACTTCGACACCTGTGTCCTAGACCGAAAGTCCTGCCGCATGGAGATCCACACACTAAGTGCAGTTCAGACGGTGAGCTACCACATGCGAGCAAGCAAGAAAACACCTCTACTATACTTCGACAGAAAGTGTGCTGCATTCTCCAGTTGATCCTTTGCTCATGGGAAACATGAAAAGAGCCTATTCAAAATACAAGGGTGAACTCCAGGCAAAGAAGGATATCAAGAAAGCTTCTCAGCCGTCAATGGCAGTGCCCAGCACAAGCAGGCAGAGTAAGAGAAAGGCAAAGGATGAATTGGACAGGGAGCAGAAGAAAGCAAGGCTGGAGCATGTGAAAAAACAAGAGGAGTTGGCTAAAAAGAGAGTGGAAAAAGGACCAACAAGCAATGAGCTCTTGCCTAAAAGCTTAAAATGAAGAGAAAAATAAATATTCGACATGATGAAACTGTACATAGTTGTTCATACTGTAAATAAACATTCTACATCATGAAACTGTACGTACTTTTATATACTGTAAATAGACATCCACTTTATAGAATAAAATGCATTCATAACCCATATACAGTAAATATTCCCATATCCGGGCTATGTAAAGAAATTTCCTTCACCCGGAATAAAAACCTATGTATTAATATTTTGACTATGATATTACATTTTAACGTAACTTACTTAAGCGGAAGTTCCACTATCCGTAACCCGGATGGAGACGGAAGGCCACGGGAGCTTAAATACACACAGCGCCCACCCGATGCAACGGAAGACACATGTTCACTTCGCCGTTTTCTATCATCGGATTCGAAACGACGACGTGTAAATGACTTTTTATTGGCGTGCGTTTTACTGTAATAGCGAACGATTTTAACTTTATTTACTTACGTCCTGTAGATCGCGGCACTAGCTTAAAAAGCAGTGCCCACTCGACACAATGGGAGACACGATGGAAGAAACGTGTTCACTTCGCCGTTTTCTATCATCGGATCCGAAACGACGACGTGTAAGTGACTATTTATTGGCGTGCGCTTTACTGTAATTTCGAAAGATTTTAACTTTATTCACTTACGTCCTGTAGATCTCTGCACTAGCTTAAAAAAGCAGCGCCCACTCGACACAACGGGAGACAGACGGAAGAAACGTGTTCGCTTCGCCGTTTTCTATCATCGGATCCGAAACGACGACGCGTAAGTGACTTTTTATTGACGTGAATTTTCCTGTAATTGTGAAAGATTTTAACTTTATTCACTTACGTCCTCTAGATCATGGCATCAAAATGAAGAACAACCCAACAAAACAACCCAAAAAAAGACTCATTTTTTTCCCCAAGACGGAAAAGAAATAACATTAAAATACTGTACGTACTGTACTGTACTGTGTTGTGTTTTTTAAAAATACTCTACACCTGTACTGTATACTGTATACTGTACTGCTGTTTTTGTTATATAAACAGTTTTTGGACAGTATATTTTTGCATTTTATTGCTTGTGTTGTTACACATGCATTTTGTCAACATACTTGCAGGTTCATAAAGGACACGTACAATGCTCATTTCCCAAATAGGAAATTCTGTTATAAGGACATTTTGGACAGTGCAAACATGAGTCCGTACTAGAGGATGTTTACTGTATAGTAAACAGTTTGGGACTTCACTCTCACTGCATGAGGTAAGAATCAACAGCTTTTTTTTCACATTTACAAAACATTTAATGAATACAAGTAATGAACAAGTCTTAAATATGGCAGGGAATGTGTTTCCTTTTTTTAGTTTTGATTTTGAGCAGCAAATTTGAAATTACATGTTGGTGCTCACCAGGAATGCATAAGCAAAATTGCACAAAGGACTATGTCAAATTTTCACTTGAAAAAATAGTGAACAATCTTGAGATTTTTTTTCTGTGAAAGTCTCAAGTAGTGTGTACATTGAATACACTTCATCTTTAGTATAAAGTGCCTATTTTGTCATCAAATAGGGAATGATATTTCAACAAAAATGTTGAAATGAAATGTAAAATTTTGTTGATAAAATTTATGGTTTTAAGGCTTTAAAATCTCTAAAACCCATTAGCTTCTGGGAGCTTTGCCCCCTGGACTCCCATCCGGGGCATTGCCCCTGGACCCCACCGGGGGCCTGCGGCCCCCAGACCCCCAGCTGATTTTCAGATTTTTTCAGCACTAGCCGCTCTCATCCCTGATTTTTGTATGTACAAAGTATGTTTTATTTGCACAGTCAGAACAGATATATCATGACCTGCTTGGATATACGGTATAATATCCAATGTCACTTTGTTTTGTTGAGTATTTTGTCTTGAAGTGTCCGGTGATGTATTGTAGATCATTCCTGGTTGTTCCTTGTCTCTCACCCAAAGTCAAATGGGATAGGCATAATTTTTCATGCCTGTGAAACTAAACACATTTGGCTGACTGGCTGGATGTCGAGATGGATGTAAGTCAAAATCTATGTTGTAACTGTCAGGGTATTTCGAGATTAACTAATATATACTTTTTTTTTTTTCTTTTGTTGTCCTGTTCGCCCTCGGGAACTATGACCAATGACAGTGAGACTGCGATGTCTGTAAAAGATGATGGGTTCAAAAGGAACCTTGTGCCTTCTAAATCAACATTTTTTTCATTGACCAAAAGGACTGGACCTCGCTACAGAAATCAAGAATACATAGACGATTCAAAACTCTTCAGTGGACAAACATCATCTCCAAAGGAATTCGATCAATCCATCCATATTGCTCTTTTGCTTTTAAAAGACACAGAATTAAGACACTTGGCTCACAAAGACAAGGTCCTGAATTTTGGTGTCTGGGTAACTGTCCCTTTGAAGACTGTCCTGTTCAAGTAACAGTCACGGTAAATAATGCAAAGGATCTGAAAGCCGCTGTGAATTTCAAGGGCAAGACAAGCATTCATAATCGCATCGAATTAAAATCAAGACCAATAAGAGGAAAGGACAGGAGTGAAATGTGGAAGATATTGCAAAAAGAATTGCCGAGGTCAATGTACTTGCATAACATAGGCCAATTACATGACACAGTTATGGAATCAGAATGCAGAGATGAGGCACCTGCACCTTCTATTTTGAAAACCCTCTCATGGGAAGTTCGACAAAAAAGTTGCCTCCATAACAATGAGCTCTTAAATTTGCAGTCCAACGTTGAAGGAAAATAAAACAAACCATAAGAGAGGACAAGGGAGGGCATCTTGTATCTGGACGCTACTGGTAGCATTATGAAGAAGGGAAAGGGCTCGCCACCATTTTATGTGTCTGAGCTCGTTGTGAAGAATCCTTCCAAGAACTCCGCACCCTTTCCCGTGGCGACTTGACATGTGACCACACCACTGCCTTCGTTAAGTATTTTCTTGATGCATTTCTAACAGATGTTGCAAAGGCGTATGGGCAGAGAGCGGTGCAGCCTCCACTGACGCTACTTTGCGACGGTTCCATAGTCATTATGCAAGCACTTTGTCTATCATTTATAAAGACCAATTTGAGTAACACGATTGAGCATGACTACTCAATAGTCAGTGGAAAACGGAAATCTGCAGATTTTGACATTCCAGTTCTGCACCGATGTCTGAGTCATATCATCAGCCGAGCGAGCGACAGCCAGTGACATCCGAGCGAGCGACAGCCGAGTGAGCGACAGCCAGCGGGAGCGAGCGAGCGACAGCCAGCGGGAGCGAGCGAGCGACAGTCAAGCCGAGGCAGCGTGAGCAAGCGGTAGCTAACTGGCGTTATTGAGCGAGAGGACTCTTCGGGGCTCCGATGGCGGTCGACCCTTTGGGAACGGCACCAGCAGCTGGAGCCACCTCCATTTGAGGCCAGCCTACCGAACAGTTAACCCGGCAGCAGCGGCAAAAACTCGAACACCGCGGCGGTGTTGTCTGGGGAGGCCACAGGCCCACCGCCACGTCACCAACATCCGGGTTGGCAGAGAGAGAGAGAGACCACAGCACACGATGTCAACCAGCTGACAGCCGGCGAGCAACGAAACCCAAAAATGCCGCCTAAACGGGGACAAGATACCAAGCAGGATGAAGAAGTGATGACCCGTACGCAAGTCACGAACGACTTATCCAACAAAAAGAACTGTTCACAGCACTCATGCAGAAACAACAGGATCACTTCAAAGGATTTGTAAAGATGAAACTGAATTCCAGGGAAGTACAAGAACTTAAAACTAGTCTTAATTTCACCCAAAAGGAGGTCGATGACATTAAAAAACAACAAACGAATGGATCTGACCATAGCAAAACCATGCAAACTGAAATCTATAAAGTATGTAACAGTATGCTGGTTTTAACCGACAAGATGGACAACTTAGAGGGACTATCTAAAAGAAAAAACTTGATAATCGATGGAATTGAAGAAATGCAAGGAGAAACGTGGACGGAAACGGAGCAAAAAGTGCAAACAATCTTCAAGGACCAACTTCAATTAAAGGAGACAATCGAGGTGGAAAGAGCCCACCGCACAGGGAGACACGAATCGGGAAGACTTCGACCAAGGCCAGTAGTGGTGAAATTTGAAAAATATAAGGACAAAACAATGATACTACAGAGAGCAAAATACTTAAAAGGTCCCAAAATCTACATTAATGAAGATTATACAGATATTGTACGTCAAAAAAGAAAAGAATTGCTTCCAAAACTAAAAGCGGCACGTGAAAGAGGGGAAATTGCCTACCTGAGGCACGACAAACTAATCGTCCACCCCCGCACCAGTACTCCAATTCAACGGGCTCGACCTCAACATGCTGAGAGCTGATGACCACCAGACAATAACTTTGACTTAATGGATATCGGAAACATACAACACAAACATGGACATTAAAATCGTTGATTATGCTGAACATCAGACATTCGACCCAGAGAACAACTGGGACCCAGACAATAATTTCTTCAATCACAATTACAGCATTACAAACTCCGAGTATTACACTGACAAACAATTCAACACAAATGTAGAACTGAAAAACACGTTTTCAGTGATACACATAAATAGTAGAAGTCTTTATAAAAATTTCACCAAAATCAAAGAATATTTGACTACATTTAATAAATTTACAATAATTGCTGTGTCAGAAACTTGGCTTGATGATGAAAAAACAAGTGAAATGAAAATTGATGGATATGAAATGTATGCAACTCATAGGGAAGACAAAAAAGGAGGGGGAGTTGCAATATATGT